CACACACTGCAAAAACTAGATAATTAGATAACTCAGTAGACAAATGAGGAAGAGGAGGCTGTGATAAATACCTGCTACTATGACAAGTCCAAGTCCTTTTCAGGTTGTTATATAAATTATTATTATGAGGTCATGTCATGCCATTAAAAATACAATTCACCAGTTGGTGAAAACACAAATATTTATAAATGGCTAAATGTTGATTTGATTTTTTGTTCCTGTTAATCATCTGCAGGAATCAATAGAGCAAAGAACATTTTTAATCTTATCAAGGTTTGAGTTGAGTTTTTTTTTTTAAAGTAAAGCAGTCTGAATATAAATGAACAGTCTGAACTACACTTAGGAACAAACTGGGAAAACTTGGATAATCTTGTAAGAAAGGAGAGAACTGCAGTCGAAGTCAACAGTGATGAACTCTGACCTCTTGCAAACTACTAAAACAAAGTGTAGCTGTTGAGCAATGCAGGATTTGCCTTCATTTCTTAATATGGCCTCACACTATTTATTCTACTTCTTGTCAGCATACTTTACAGAAAAAGTAAACAGAAAGTTCAAAAACATGTCCCTGCCAGCACCACTTTGTTCCAAGAAACGTAAGACAGAAAGTAGGCCAGTGCTCAATGTTTTCACTCTTTAACACGTTTTCCTGTGTTTTGTGTTTGCTCCAGAAAACATTGGTTTGATTTTATGCATATGTAGGAAAGTATAAAAAGGTTGTTTGTCTATTAATTCATATATTAATTTATAGCATTCAAAACAGGAAGAGACAGAGAGGACAAAGTAATTTTGAAATGATGTAGGCTTTTGAAAAATTAAAGAAAACTCAAGTAACTCTCGTGAATGAAATGTCCATACAGTTTTGTCCTTTCCTTCATCTTCAGTCATTTTGATTTGAATTGTAATGTAAATCTAACCTTTTCCAGCTTTTGTACTTAACAAGTTCCCTCTAAAGAAGAAATTAATGTCACATTTGGTTGGTCTAAAACATTTGTGATGGTAAATTGTGAATCATTTTCTAATTTTGATGTTTTGCCATTGGACACGACTTGGTTATAACTCAAATATACATGTTCAGTTCGACCTAAACTCATACAAGATAAGAGGCCAGACTTGGAAACAACTGCACGTCACTAATGTTGTGTTGTGTCCCGAGGCAGTCAGTATATATGAGATTTGTTTTGTGTGTGTAGTGACAGGAACAACTCAATAAAGAGACAAATGTTTTCTGTCTTTTAATGGAAATGAAATCAGAAGTAAAGAAGGAGTGAATACAGATTGTCAGCAAACATTTGTCTCTAGTGATCCACTCCATATTTGCAATTATGTTCAACCTAAAAACAGCAAAAATGGTCAAACTCACATCTCTTTCCATAACCATTTCCATTTACCCTTCAATTCATCTGATGTAAGAATTGTTGTATAGATTTGGTAATATCATGTCCCAGATTAGGAGCGCTTATTATGACTTCAGTATTATACTGTAATAAATTTTGCCAAAAATAATTGTGAGATCAGAAATCATAATTAGAATTTGTAGTTTGTCTCATTTATTTTTCTAATGAATTTGAATGCAATGAATTTTTCACACAAGTTTGGATGGATTTTCCCTTAATAAAAAAAAGATAATTTAACAACTGTGTTTTGCATTTACTCTTGTTATATTTGTCTAATATTAAAATTTGTTTGATTGTCTGAAACATGTAAGTGTGACAAATATGCAAAAAATCAGGAAGGGACAAAAACATTTTCGCAGCACTATATAGTTGAGAAAGAAAGAAGGGGTGTCCAAATTCAGGGTTGCATCTTCCTGCGGACCTGGCCTTCGCGGTCTACGTGGGCCGGATCCTCTGAAGGCCGGATAGACCGGAAGTGAGCGGCTGTGAAATTGGATGGTCTAGCCTTCAGATTTGCGTCACCAGCTGTCTCGGTGGAGTTCAGCTGTCTGCTCCTTACTTTTAAAAAAATAACAGGACACTGGCGCAAATTCTCGATCATGTCACACTTCTGTTTAATCAGTTTTCCGTATGACGTTTATTCAACTGTAATCTCAGCCAAACCGATTTACTCACTAACAAATAAAACATTGAAAAAAGCCAAACAATAACATTTTTAGGTTATCTAAGTGACCTATGTATCATGTTTAACCTGAGTAGCGACAACCTGTTCTCACGTACTCTAGTGAACCGCCTAGCTATCAAGCTGGTGGGTAACAGACTTCTCCGAAAACGTCAGAGCTCTTTGCAAATATGTGATGTCTTAAAAAACCGAGCAAATATTTGAAGTTTACACAGCTACATTCTTGCCTGAAAATATCTTAAAAGTTTATTTTGTGACCCAGAAAGAGTAATAAGAGTAATATTAAAACTAAGTAGCGGCCGCCTATGGGCAGAAATCTGTGCCATCAGAAACTGAAATTGAATAAGTTAAATTTGAATTTGAATTGCTCGGATTGAATCTGAATTGTAACTTGAATAAAAGCTTTTAAAAACTGAATATGAATTAGCCTAATTTGAAATTCAATTTATTGGTTTGAAAATGATCATCACTAAATTGAAATTGAATTTTATATTTTGAAAATTAATTTATTTTATCCTTTAAAAATGTAGCTCTCGAATAAGTTCAGATTCACTTCTCACCATTCAGTTTCAGTTCTACAATTCAATTTCAGTTCCAAAATTCAGTTTTTTGGGACTTACATCCGGTTCCGGTTCAAGAGTAATCGAGCGCAGATTAATTAAGCGCAGACCTTTCGAGTATCACACCACAGTTTGCTATCAGTAAACAACAATGGCATTCACTGATAGCGTAGCACATCCATGTTAGCAGTGTATGAACGGATAGCTTAGCATATATTAGCACAGGTATCAATAAACGACTACGTATTAAACACTTTTACTAACATGAGCCTTGCGCTTGCGCTGAGCAGAGGGGGGGAGGGGCGGTAGTTACACTGGCAGTAGTACAGGAACAGAGTGGGAGGGAAAGAGAGAGAAAGAGAGCCAGGGACAGCAACAAGAGACAACATCATCTCATTAGAAAGTTATAGTAATCATCATGTGACACCTGATTGTTAAAATGGAAATAATTAGTTGACTCCTTTGAATCTCTATGTTAATAGTTTGGCTCTGTGACCTCAACTTACCTGTTTGTTCTTCCGTGCTCAGAAAATCTGGACCCACTGACAGAAAGAGAATTCCAGTCCAGTCCACATAAGCGGCACCTCAATCACACCTCGCCGGCTTAAAGTCTGTACTGGGTCCTGCTGTAGCTGTTGTGGATGTGTCTGGCTGGCAGCTATTGTAAGAACAGTAAACAAGAAATAAAGTGTGTTTGGGCGTGACAATGTGGTTAGGTCTGCCATGCTTCTGTGACACTGACATGTTTAACAACACCTCTCTATAAATGATAAAATATTTAAGTAAGTTTGAACTAGAAAATAATTTGCAGACTTTAGATTCTGTTTGGCGTTTATTGGTAAGTTTTTGATGTGGAGTTAGTGGTATTCCAGTACTTACGGCCAGATTTTTTTTGGAACTGAATATGATAACTGTTTATTCTTAATTTAATTTAATACAAATGTTATGTTTAATCAAACTGTATTTAAATAGCACATTTAAAACCAGTGGTGTACCAAAGTGCTTAACATACAAGAGGGTAAGATGAAGTAACAGGGAAGGATGAAGGCTATGGCAAAGTACCACCATGCTAGCATGTTAAATGGCATTAAAAACACAGAAGCAAAAGAAATGCATATAAAAACATAAAAGAACAATATGTGTAAAGGATAAAACAATCAAAAATTTTAAACGTGATTAAACGTCGTTAAGACTAGACTGAAGATAGAAATAAGCATTAAACTAACTAACAAACATTCATTAACTGGTAGAAAAGGCGAGGCTAAATAAGTGGGTTTTTAACCGTGATTTGAAGGATTGAATGGAATCAGACTCGCGGATAGCGATGGGGAGGTTATTCCATAGATCGGGTGCAGCCAAGGCAAACGCTGGGTCACCTCTAGTCTTCAGCTGGGATCTCGGATATACCAAAAGTGACTGGGAAGATGATCTTAGTGCTCTAGTAGGGGTGTGTAATCTAAGGAGCTCAATGAGGTAGCTTGGAGCTATATTGTTAATAATTCGGAAGGTGAGCAGCAGAATTTTGAATTCAATGCAATACTTAACGGGAAGCCAATGCAGGTCGGCGAGGACAGGGGTGATAGAGACACGCCGCCCACTACCAGTAAGGAGACGAGCAGTGGCATTCTGAACATTTTGCAGTCTATGGAGGAGAGTAGAGTTAAGACCAAAGTAAAAGGAGTTGCAATAATCCAACTTAGATGTCACGAAGGGGTGGATAAGCTTTCCAGGTCTCTAATGTCTGGCTTTGCTAATAAGATGCAATTGATAGAAGCAAGATTTGACAACAACAGACACCTGTTTGTCGAATTTAAAAGAGCTATCCAAAAACACACCCAGGTCACTAACAGTGTCGGTGAGGAAACTATCAAAGGAACCGAAGGCATCACGGAGTTGCCCAAGGGGGATACTACTGTCAAACACAATGATTTCAGTTTTCCTGTCGTTTAGGATAAGAGTTACCTGCGAGCCAGTTTTTTACCTCTCACATGCACTCACGAAAACCGTGCAAAGACATAGCAGAATCATCAGTTAATTCGAAGTAGATCTGTATGTCGTCAGCATAACAATGATGTGCAGTGATGTACTTCTCAAAGATTGCGCCTAAGGGGAGCATATACAGTGAGAAGAGCAGGGGGCCAAGGACAGATCCTTGAGGCACGCCGCAGGAGACAGGTGCAGCAGAGGAGAAAGATATGACTTAAACCAATCTGTAGGTGTGCTGTTTTTGCAAATGCCCGTATGGGTTGTATTTGACTGTAGGAACAAATCCTCAGTTGGACTGGACGAATTGTTAAATTCAAAATTCCTGAAATGAGTTTTTCTTCTACAGCACCAAAGAATAACAGACAACAGATTGCATTATTGAGGGAAGTACATGTCAGGTTTTATTGTGTCAATGATTATACATGCAATGAAAGACAAAAGTCTTAGCAACTACAGAAAGAACACCAGGTTTTATGATTAAACAAACATCAGTCAAGTACAACTTTTATGCAGAGCATTTGATAACTTTTTCAGCCAGAAGAGGCTGCAGAAATATTTCTCAGTGTTATTGCAACTTCATCCACAGAGGAAAGATTTTCTTCGCTGAAATATGTGTGGGAAGCAGATTTGTTATCAAACACCATCACAATGTAGGAAACCTTTGGAAATGTATTCAAATTTGTCAACTGCTCCCAGAAACTGTCTTACGCTTCTAGTGTCCTTGCTTAACTAGAAAAAAACAAACTGTGAAGCTAACAAGATCCTACCTGTCTTGGTGTCGTCAGTATTCAACATTCAGTTGCTTGGCAACCTTTATTAAATAATAAAGCCAAATTCTGTATATTTGTTCTGTATTTGTGGTAGAAGATTTATCCAAGATTGATTTCCCTGAGAAAACACATAGAAGCTGAAAACAGACTCAGTCAGCATTTATTACATTTTATTGAAATGACCACAAACAGCACCGGTACTTCACTGGTCTAATTCTTTATTCTGCTCTTCAATTATTGACACATTGGTGTACTCGTGTTTATATAGTCTTGTACACAAAAGCATTACTGGCAAGTCGGCAAATGTATCACACCATTTTCACACTTCTGACGCATTCTCACTGTCCCAACATCTCTGTGTCCACTGGTACACATAAACTCGATTTCATCATTATGTTCTAAATACAGTCTATCATCTCTTATATATTTGAACTGAATATTATGTCTGTTCATGTCACCTCTATTCACAGTGCAGGGTTCTGTAAGACATAAAATATAAATAGTATTTTAATGTTAGTAAAATACATGAATGTACAGAATATTGTGTTCTGTAAAGGACTCTGTGGCTACAAATAAAATTTATTTTCTCCTGCCTAATTCTAAATTGTGGTCAAACGCTGGAATGGTACACAGATGATCTACTGTTGCTGTTGCTCTTGTGGGGTGATTACATTCACTGTTAATTTTATGTAATAGTTCTGTGACTATTTTACATGCTGAAGTCCTGTCCATCCCAGCCTGACTCCTCTCAGCCTCACTACAGTACTAGACACTTTAAAACCCACCTGCACAATGTACACTTTTCAGATGTTTCAATTTGAAATTTCCAGATTGTCTTATTTTATTTAATTCACTTTTATGGTTATATGCATATATGTTCTCTCTTTTTGCATGTACATAATCTTCTCTCTCTCTTTTTACACAGTCGAGAAGCATGTCAGGATACATTTCTGCGTGTTGTACTCGTATAACTATGCATGCAACAAATAAGAAATCTTGAATCTTGGAAGTCACATTTCAATGTAAACCTACTCATTAATTTTACTCATTCTCCAAATAAGTAAACTAGTTTCTGTTATTTCTTTTAGATAAACATACAGAATTTCAGGAATCTGGATCACTTGTTGATTTTAAATTGTGATTTGATTTCATATCTTGCTGCTAGAATTAACTTTATTATTATTTATTTATTGTTATTTATTGAGCTTTGTCCCAAAGGTTTTGAATTGCAGTTCATTGGTCAAATGTTATAGAATAACCTTCATCAGAAATGATCATTTGTTTTTCAGACCAAATATTCATTTGAATCAATATGCTGTTATTATATCTCTAGACTGCACACTTTGTTAAATGAAGAATTAATAATTAATCAGAATTCCTGCTTGCACCTTTCACTCCAATACTTAACACAGTTCTGAGGTTTGAACCACACACAGTATCATAAATACTTCAGTCATGCTCTTTGAACTTTGAAAAAATCTAAAATAAAAAAAAAAATCTCCATATATACAGCTTCACCAAATGTAACAACTACATGTTTTTTACTAGATTATTACTAGAATCAGCAGCTGGGATGTTAACAGGTTTTTGAAGGAGACAGCTCATTCACTGGTTCCAGCGTCCATTCACTAGCTGCTTTTTATATTAGAACTGATTTGAAAACTTTATTATTTACTAAATATATCCATAATTTGAGTCTTAGAAACATTTCAGACCAACTGACCTTACTGGCCTAAAAACCCAGATAAAAAAATTACAGCAGGGCCCTGTACCACAATTCAACGTCATCATGACTATTGTTTAGAATTACCTGAAGTCAACAGAAAAAACAATTAAAGAATTTCTTACTTGATGCTCATCTCATCAAACATAAAAGATGTTTTTCAGTAAACCTCAGACCCTACTATCCACACAGTGAGAAATATTTTGTACCTGGTGATTTCTTATGTCAAACACAACATGCCTCAAAGCGTTTTATCCCCCCGATACCTAGTGTATCATATTTAAAAGATACAGCCTTTGGGAGTTTTTGATCTATGACATTAAGTTCTCAAAAATCCAGTCTTTTTTTTTTTTTGACAAATTTCCAAAATTCAGCTTAACAGTAAAGGGTTCTGGACTTTTTGTCACAAATGAATGTTTTTGTCTGTATTTTAAATGTTTTCAGTGTACACCACCATAGTGGATTTTAAACTGAACAGTCAAGACGTTTATTGAAGGGCTTCAACAAAGTAATGCATTCGCTGTTTGTGAGTAACATATATAATTTCATATTTTATAAATAGTTTCTCATCTTGAGAGGCTCACAAGCAGTCGTGTATATTTGTGTGTATATGGGTCACACCTCTGGAATTAAACAAAATTAAAAAACAGAAACCAAAATGACTTTTTACTTGTATCTTCACAGAATGAAATGAAATGAAAACTTTTACTTACGGAGGCATGTAATCTCTCCAGTCCATTCACCGTCATTACATGTTTTGAACGGTCCACCCTTCATGACGTAATAAAGCTGACAGATATATTCAACCTT